CTATTACCAAGTTTCGTTTAATTAAGTTCAGTATTTCAAAAGTTATTTGAAAAAAACGAAAATAAAAATAAAATTTCAACATCCTGTATCTTGGAAACGAAGCGTTTCCGGACATTTATTTATTTGGACAATTCATATTAGAATATTTTGAGGAATCACCTCCTGAAGTTTGTCAAAGTACTTTTGAATCACCCTGTATAATACCACTGTTGGTATTAATAGAGGTACTTAGCTTGATTGAGTACCTGAATTTTGTTCACCAGTGACAATGTGGATATGCTTATTTGAAAACCAGTGAGAAAACTAAATAGATTTGTTCATTCAACAGGTTGCACCCGCAATGTTTATGCTTGTAAATTTCCAAGGATTCCAAATAATTGCAACCCTTCCTTGCAAAATTTCCGTATCATTTAGATTCGGGAAACATAGCATATAATATACTACAAAGTTTGTGTAATATGTAGTGTGTGATATTACACAGCAAGGTAAGAGAAAAAACTAGATTCACCGAGTATTCAACATTGGACTTTTCTATGAGCTGATCAACAACATATCTGATATTGGTGACCTAATAACCAACTGTTCACGTTCAATATGCTGGACATAATGGCCCAGCATATGTTAAATCTCATTTCTGATGAAAATCCACTCAACTTCACCGTCATTGATCATCCAAATAGCCTCTGTACAAACGCTAACACAAAATACCCATCAATCTAGTAGGTGACACGAGCTCGGTCATAAACCTATCGCTGATGAATAAACATATCCACAAATCAGTTTGTAGGTCACTCTAAATTGAACCAGTCAGTTGAGAGTGTTGGAACATCCATCAACTATGTTTCGCTTCATTTACGATTCAAAATTTGGATTCCGCCTCGTAATCAACATCGATTACTTATTAATGATCATTATTGGAGCAGTAATGTCGATCAACATGAAAGTTTTGTAGACGTAAATGAGATGAAAACGTCATCTAACTCATATATCAAGTGTTAATTATCAAAAAATTCTACCATTTTCTACACAAAAATCTCTTTATTACATACAACACTTTCTTCAGGTATTGAATATCTCAAATATCCAATGTGAGTTACTTTTATCAATCAATATAAAACTCATGGGAAATGAAGGTTTTCGGCTTTCTACTTCTTCAGCTCTAAATGAATAATGCTGGAATTTTCCGAAGGGAGGGAGGAAGTAATCAAGTTGAAAATGGCCTCTTCAAAAAGATCTGTGGATAAAGCTAAGAAGTTATTCTTGGGATAAACTGGAAAAAAAGCCTCCCCTAAACAACTATTTCCACCTGACCATTGAATTATACAAAAGAAAAATTACTTTTTGCAGCAACTACTTTCATATGAACAATTAATTATACGAAAAATTACTGTTTTCCATTTAGTTTGTACTCGAAATAGTTTGATTTGAATATAATTGCTATCTTTTCTCTACTTTATGAAATCCAAAGGAATTCACAGCGACATTTAATAATAATAATAATANTGAGATAATTTTTTTTATGGAAGGAATATTCGCAATAATATTCTTCCGTAAAAAATATCCAGAATGAGAGAAATACCCGTGAATTTTTTTACGAGAAATAACCATAAAAATCATTCAGAATTTTTCTCAATTCTTGTTTTCAGTTCGATCCCGAATACTATTGACTTGAGACCAAAATGGAACCCAGGATGATTGGAGCAGCAGTGATTGAACTTAGACTATATCAATCAATTATTGTGAATATTTTTGTGGGATGTTTCTTTTCAAGAAATCTTTTGATATTTTTTTCCATTCAAAATATCGTTCATGGAAAGAGTGCAATTTGAAAATACTCCAGATGTGGGTTGAGGAAAGAGTATAGTATTCTACCCGCGAGAAAAATCATCACTCGCTTGGATGACTTATGACAGTTGCCTTCGGCTCACGTCGATAAACTCCATTGTCACTCACTCAACTCACATTTCACACTCGTTGATGATTATATTATTTTGTATTGAAAAATTAGCGATAACTGTTACCAAAAATATTTAAAAAATGTCGACTTGCTTGCTAACATGGTTTTCTTGAACAGATTTCTACCAGATTTTTCAATTCTACATTTCCGAAGTGATCAGTAGATGTTACATCTGAACCCCCATCTGGAACACCATGAACACCAGGCTCACCTATGACAAACCCACTGCTTTGAAACCCATCCTCAAAATTATCGTTCAACCCTCTTTTTCATGAGTTGTAACGTCGGAAAACATTTAGATACAAAATTCACCTCGAGGATTTTTTCTTTTCATTTTGTGACTATTTTCATACTTTTATTCAAGTCTCTGGAAATTAAGAGTTAGTACTATTACTAGAAAATTGATATTTTAAATGAATTTATGTATACGTTTAAAAATATTCTCATAGGACGAAACGTCCTATGAGTCAGTTAACAATAAAAGTGGTAAAAAACATAGAAAGTTTCAATTCTCTTTCCTTCATTATGAATATTTTCAGGTTTCACAACCTTACTACACAGTAGTTTCTGGTAAATGCCTACCAGAGAACAACAACTTTCCCGGCTAATACTACGCTGGACACTGAATCATATCCGATAAACATTTATACATGATACCACACAGATGTTAGTCTTGCTCATTCATCCAACAGCAAGACCATGCTGAAATCAATCGAGTAGGTCACCTATAGATTGGTTTCGAAGTATTACCTTCCAGTGCAGGAAAAATCTGACACAAACAGCAGTTTGCCTGGGACTCTGTTGATTTCAACGCGACACGATTGCATCTATGAAACATTATAAAACATTATAGTCTTTATCAATATTTATTTTTATTATACAACAATGTATAATTGTGTTTATTTACAAACACTATAAAATAGTTTTATGAACATTTCGGCAGTTACTATAAAACACTCTTAAAAAGTAGTTTTGTAAAGACTTCTCTCACTGCACTTTTGCAACATACTTAAGCGATACTTATAAAATAATTAGAAGACAATTTAATAAGACTTTTTTAGTAGTTCCAAGTAAGCGTTATATAATATAATACAGCCGAAAACGATAACAATAACATAAATAAGTGTTAAAAATGTTTTCTTGAAGGCGCAAGAAGTAATTTTGTATGTCACCAACTGAAAACAAACAAATAGAAAGGTTGAAGCCATTTTGAAATTTCACTTTTGCTCTCATAAAACTGTTGAAGACTTTGTTTCTTCTTCAAAGATTGACATTTTTACTGCAAATGAAATTTCATTGACAAATATATATCCTATTATCAGCAAAATTTACGCGCGCCACTCATTTTTAAATAAACTCACTTTATTCTAAATGATATAATGTCATAATATCTATGTACTTTTCAGCTGTAAATATTAGTATATGTACGGTATTTCATACTTTCAACTCATTTAATTTCAGTATTCCGGATTGCTATCATTTAAAATGGCGTCATCCTATAAAATAATTTGATATCAGTAGCAAGCATTTCAACGTATTTTAGCTACTATGTTACCCGTATAAAACTGTTAAGAAACACTTAGTTCTGGGAGTGATGGTATTGCGGCAGAGTCGGACTACTTTTAAAGCTATAGGTTCCTACAAAAGTGCTTGTATGAAAAAAGGATTTCTGTTTCTGTTTTTCATAAGAAAAAAATTGAAACGCTAGGTTGGGTGAGATAGTGTTTGTTTAGTATTTCCAATATACAGGGCGTCTCAAAAAGCTTCCAGAAAGTTTTTTAATGAAACACCCAGTCATTACTTCGTCTATTTGAAGCACCTCGAACTGAATCTAAACCCAATGCCTTAAAAATATTGAACTTACTTATGGGGTACCTAAACTCAATAAAAATCAAATATTTGGAAGTTGCTAAAGAACTAATTTCCACCACGATATCGATGGTGTCTCACTTGAATAACTGAAAAAAAATTCTTACTAAACATAACTGATATTGTGAGGAATTTTTCAAAGCTGTGATTGGGAATCAATGTCAGCTGGTTGCTCTTAAATGCTGCATTTTATTGTTGGTGACAGCAAATATATATTAGCAAAAGCAATTTAATTTTATAACAGTTATATTATAGTGTTTTTGAATTGTAGTAAATATACCGTACTATAAAATAGTTGGGAAATTATCATTGAAGTGACAATATAGTATTGAAAATAAGATGGTGTCTGAAAGCATTCTAATAAAATAGTTTCATTGAAGCTTCAGGAAACAGTTATGACATTAGCTTGAAATAGTTTTATAACTATTGTGAAAATCTCACAGAAAAGTGTTACAAAGCTACTACATAACAATTTACTTTTACAGGAAAATAAGTTTTATAAGTTAGTTGTAAAAACGTTTCTGTGATAATTTCCTGACTATTTTATAATGGTTTTTTAATTTCATTTTATAAACGTTTCTATGATAAATTTATGAAATACTTTTATTGCCTACAACTGTATTGTGTTTACGGATCATCTAATACAATCAATTAGCATTTTGGAAGTAATTATAAAATACTAATAAAATAAAAGTGTTGCAACACCATAGAATCATTAAACAACTTTGCTGGTTGGGATCTAATAGTTTTTCTATTCCATTAATATATTGGAACACTGAACCATCATCCGAAATATCAGAGCCACCCGTGTTAAACCCACCCTTCCGAAATCAAAACCAAGGTGGATCCTCGAGACTTTCATTTCACCCCATTTTCCATGGATTTATTCTACCGGCAAACGTTCAGATATGAGATTTACCTGCGGGATCTTGAAGAGGCGCAGTAGATTAGCCACTTGGATCGAAGTGACACTGGAAGCAGCTCCCACGACTCCAGATATTACTTTCCGCACTTGAGTTTTGTTGCAGTGATATTCGGCGCCGTCGATATTGCTGATGGAACCTGAAAAGGGAAATCGTGTTAGATTGTACAGGATTAACGAATCAGATTAGTTATATCAGCTTGGGAGCAGGATCTGAATTATGGAAACATCCGATGTTCATATAATTGATTCGGTGGGACTTCAGAGTCATCGTTATAGAGAGAAATCTCTATTCTTGATGGGTACAACAGAATTTGAAACGGGAAAAAAATATTCTATTGAATCTCTCATTTTGCATTAGGGCCTTTGATGGAATTCGAAACACAAGTGTTATATTTTTCAATAATAACTCAATCAATCCTGAATCAAGAGGTGATTTTGAATTGGGATGAAAGTAAATAGGTTCAATTCAATGCTAGGAAAACTCAGGCATCGCTTTTCTTCAAGGAGATGAATGTTTAAGAACCGGATATAATAATGTCGGGATGGGCAATTCCTCTTTCTGCTTCGATAAGTTTGTTGGGACCAATATGTCTTGGCAGGATCAAGTTGCCGGAATTGTAAAAGCTGCTTCTCAAAAGCTTGGAACACTGTTCCGATTTAGGGAACTGTAGACACCCCAACAACTTTTGATGCTTTATAAAGCTCAGATCAGACCATCTTTGGAGATTTGGGTGAATATATGT